ATATATATATATATATATATATATATATATATATATGTACATATATATAGTACTGTTAAGGCATACTAAAATAGATGGTTTTGGTGAGTTTCGTGCAACAGCCTATTCCACTGGCTATGTATTCTTTAGTCTATCTTGGAATAACTCAGTAAGTGATTTTTTTCGATAAAAGCAACGTAATTATGGACTTCTGATCCGTAAAATTCCCAAGTTTAGTGCGGAATGTTCTTGTATTTGATGGTAGGCTATATATGGATTGGCGGCATCCGGTTCCGGATTTGCCTGTCACTGTGGCCTCCAAGGGGACGGCCACAGGACGCCTGTGCCTACACAGGGATCATGGGTGGCTTACGCTGCACCACCCACAGTTCCATCCACACACCCCATATCCGGTGTAAACCCGAAGGAATAAGACCGGGAGGCATGTGGATGGAATCCAGGTTTAATCAATGGAGCCGGCCCACACTCCTTTACAGGCAAACACAAGCACGCTGTATTTGGGAAATCAAGCGCACACAAGGCGGTGACTGGACCGTAGTCCGCTCCACACTGACTGCATGGAACCACTCTTTGATCCTGACACGGCCACTAGGACCGTGCACCCCGTCCCCTGCAACAACGACCAACTGTCTCTTAGAGCCAGTATGGACGAGGTAGTGGGCAATAGACAGGGACACCTTGTCAACATGCACATCAAGCGCAGCCACACTGGGGATATCAAGCAACAGCCAATCACTTAAAATAACATTATCAAAAAAAGTATACCTGTTAAAGCATACGGCTATGCAGACATAACTCTTCGCTAAATTAGCATATGAAGTAAGTTGGTTAGCAACGAATCCACGATAAGTACAAAACGTCCAGAAGTTACTCAAAAATGCTACAAACACAATAAAGCTAAAGAAGATAGGCGCAATTAGCGTAAGCAACGTGTGCAAGTTAATAGAATATTATTCAGGTAGGCAGAAGAAACCAATTAAAGTGGAATGAAATTTACCTTCGGTCTTTTGTTCTTGATAATGAAATGGGAATTTTCAGTTACTGAAATCGTCCAAACTGCCTTCAGTGGTGAAGGATCTAAATCAGTTCCTTAAGTTCTCCACTAGGCTTGCCGAAGCTAAAACTTGTGTACAATTCTTCGATGATTGCATTGAAGGCAATGAATATCCTAGCAGATTCTGGAAGCAATTGCGCCGCAGTCGGATCTACCCGAATGCCAAAACGCTTAGACGTCATACTTTGAACCAGCGTGACACGGTGCAATCCAAGATTTCCGAATTCGAGCGCAATATGGCGCAACGCCAGCATGTGATTGACGAGTTAGCGTTGGACGTGAAACAAACATTCCTGGATTACGTTCAGTCTATCACCGCAAACCGTGTACGGCAAAGGCGTTTGGCCCTAACAAAGACGTTGAACCAGCATAAGCCGCAATCTACTTTCCCTAATAGACCTGAGAGGTACGTGCACAATTTTTCAAGTATGAAATTGAACTCCACTTTAATGGAAGTTCTATCACTTGGTCCAAAGTTTTGCGCCCCAAACACAAAGACAATCAGCTTCACTATGAGTTACAGTTTGAAAGCCTGTTTGGCCAAACAAAAGGGCTAGTAGCTAAGTCAAATGAAGACCTGGAGCGCTTTAAGTGTTCTCTAGTGAACACCTGCTACCAGTATCGCAAGTGCCATGTCCAAACTCACGGTCCACTGACACGCAAGCACCTTGACGCGCTGAAGGATTTACGACGCAATGATAAGATCCTTCTGAGCAAACCGGACAAGGGTACCGGGGTCGTTCTATTAGACAAAGAAGACTATATAAACAAGCTCGAAAAAGTTCTGAGTGATGAATCGAAATTTTCCCGAACGATTGGAGAAAAGGACCAAACAGAGAGGATTGAAAACCAGATTATTAAAAGCTTGCAAGATCTTCGGAATAGTGGACATATATCAAATACACTTTATGATAGCCTTAAGCCGAGTGGCACGAATGTCCCGAGGCTTTATGGGTTACCGAAAATTCATAAGACAGATGTCCCGCTTCGCCCGATCTTATCAATGGTTAACTCACCCTACCATGCCGTCGCCCAATGGCTTGTGGAAATTCTAGAGCCAGTAAGACAGCGACTTACACACTACAGCCTTCGTGACACCTTTCATTTCATCGAAAGCATCAAAGACCGCAACATCGGTAAGAAAGTAATGTTTTCCTTGGATGTTGTATCGCTTTTCACCAACGTGCCACTTTTCGAGACGATCGATTACCTTTGCTCCTACATAGAAGAAACAAAAACAAGTATATGCATACCGTTGCGTGACTTGAAAAGCCTCCTTTTGCGTTGCACTTGGAACGTACAGTTCCTATTCAATGGCACTTACTACCGACAAAAGGATGGTGTAGCTATGGGATCGCCATTGGGTCCGTTGTTAGCTGATGTCTTCATGGCGAAATTAGAGAATACCAAGTTACATGCGGAGATCACGGCCTTTGAATGTTACCACCGCTATATGGACGACATATTTGTCGTGGCCGACCAGTCTGTTGACCTTGACGCTGTTATTGACCGTTTTAATCGGGCCCACGCATCATTGCAGTTTACCTACGAAAAAGAATTGAACGATCAGTTGCCGTTTCTTGATGTGCTGTTAACTAGAAGGGCAGACGGCTCGATCCAACGGCAGGTCTACAGGAAGAAAACCTGGAGTGGCCAGTATACGAACTTTCACAGTTTCGTTCCGTTGAGATATAAGCGAAACCTAATTCGCTGTCTAACCACAAGGGCCCGCAGGATCTGTTCTGAAGACAAGTTGGATAATGAGTTGACGTTCATTCAGAATTTGCTGCGCGAAAACGGATATCCTGATCGTTTCATTTTCAGGAACATGCAAAATAAGCCCGACCTGTTGCAGGTTCAGACAGCAGAGAAAAAAGAACTTTTCATACGACTACCCTTCAAGGGAGACGCCGCTGCTGAGCGTGTAACTAGAAGCCTTTCAACAGCTGTCAAGTCAACTTTCCCAGCAGCCAAGCTTAGGTGTACCTTTTCCACGGAGCCACTCATTCGTATTCACAACAAAGACAAGTTACCGACGCTGACCGCTTCTATGGTAATTTATCAGTTCGAGTGCGCCTGTGGCGCTACTTACATCGGTCGAACGGCGCGGCAACTGTCGAAGCGCATTAAGGAGCACCTACCACGCTGGTTGCGTCGAGGCGGTACTGGGGCTATAACTAGCTCTGTTATGGCTCATCTTGTTGATAGTGGGCATGAGGTTGACCCAATCAGTGCCTTTCGAATACTATACAGGGTCCCTCCACTCCAGTCGAAAGGCCTGCGCCTCCGCACCCTTGCTACTGCCGAGGCGATCAGCATTCGGTTGTATCAACCGCTTTTGTGTGCACAAAAGAAGCTGATCGAAGCTGTTAAGCTACCTTGGCCAGTCAAAACGGATCCTTCTGAGAGCAACTGTAATTGTGCAACTGCACCTCTGTCCTAGTTTGCCGTTTGTTACTGGTTCATGCCTTTGGTCGGCACGTGATCAATCTCATTTGAACTGATCGTTAATCCACTTTTACACCCATTGCTATTTCACTCATATGATTGTACGGGTCTGAAGATGAATCATCGAAAACAATTGTTTACCTTCGGTCTTTTGTTCTTGATAATGAAAAGACATCGAATAAAGCAAACGTATATGACAACACAAATACTCGCTAAATGAGCATCTGGAGGAAACTGGTTATAAGCGAATCTGCGATAAATACAAAATGTCCGAAAGTTTCTGTATAGATTCGTCGCAGTTAGATATAGGCAGACAGCCACCACAATCCAGGAAAACGCTAGAGGGCCGTTTCGTCCTATTGGGACTCGTCAGTAGCGCGCACCCGCCGAATCCTGCCGGATTCGAACCCCCGACTTTACTCTTACGAGTCAGCGACTTATGTCAGTGAGTCATGAGCGACGGCAGCGGACCGCCATGACTGATATCTAACTGCGATATAGCGCGGCTCATCCTCCACTGTCTTGTATGTTATGAATGTGCAGAGGACAGGGCTGGCCCCCAGAGCGCTTTCCTGGATGTGTGGTGGCTGTCTGCCTGTCTAACTGCGACGAATCTATACAAAAACCTAATAAACCCCCTACTACTTACAAATGTCCGAAAGTTATTTAAAACATATCACGATGAAGTTACGCTACGTTGCGTTACCACTATTAGCATGAGCGACGTGTGCAAGTTAGGAGAAGATTATCAGGTACGCAGAACAAACCAAATAAAGCAGAAGGAATTTTTCCACACTATATATATATAATGCTCAGACAATACCATTTCATCGCACTTTTCACATCGCTGAATAGAGCAAAGCGCTGTATATGTCAGATTGATGTCATCAACTTGATACACTCAGTTTCACTCAATACTCCATCATAATTTCCGTTTAGCTTAAAAATCAGTGACTAATTCCCAAGCAAACAAAGCAGCTGGACTCGTTGTAGGTTCCAAATCAGCTGGAGGAGGAAAGTGAAATAAAGCATTTCCAGCTTGTAGACGCCAAATACCGTTTTCACATCATACCTCATCGGTCATCGCAACATACTTAAATGCATAGAAATGTCACCTATTCAGTGGGACGGTGGTCAGCAGTGAGGCCTATACCCAACACAATGCGGCGTCGGTGACCTCTTATAAACCCTTTGGGAAAACTGTTTATGTCTCCAATGTTAAGGTGATGATCGAACAATGCCAAACATTGTTGTAGGAGAAATTAATGTTTTTTTTGAGTTTGGTCGCAGTTAGACCCGATTAGTCAGCCACCACACATCCATGGAAACGCTTTCCTATATGTGTGGTAGTTGTCTGGTTGCGATGACTAATCTCAAAAAAGTGTCAAATATCTCGATCGCGAAAGCGGAAACCAGTAAGCCAAACATTCAGTTATGTTGTTCTCTGTATTACTGAAATTATAATGTGTTCATCATCGATGTAAACGCACAAACATACCATAAGGATATGGTTGCTGACCCCAGCCATAACCAGGTTGACCAAAAGACACAGGGGGTTGGGCGGAGGACGCCGCCATCGCGCCCGTTTGAGTAGAGCTGGGGTTCACGGAAGTCGGTGCTGTGGTCGGAGTCGATATGGATGGCTGAGGAGCAGAAGCAGCTTGGGTGTACGTTGGTGGAGGTCTAGAGGGCACCGCTATACGAAATATGAGAGGAATTAAGGCGATGTGAGGGACCGAGTGATAAAAAAAGAATCATTGGGCTGAAGCAAAATCAGTTATACCGTTTGGACACTGCCACGTTGGTCGGCTGTAGGGTCTTGCCTATAAAATAGTGCATAGCCTTATCATACTAGGAACCGCTTGCATTAGTATTCAACTACGCTGTGTATTACTGCTGGTTGCAGTATTTTGATAGTTGTCCACTCGGAAAGATGCTTCACTGGCAACAGTACTGACGTTTAAAAGGAATAAACGGACATCTTAGAATTCCAGCTGAACAGCTCAGCTGGATAGTCAGAAGCAAGGAAAACGCAGGACGATCGTCTCGTCCTCTTTGAAGGTCAGCAGTATGGTGCATTTCATCAAGCTCCGTAACCCACTTTTAGAAAATTAGTATCCTTAAAAAACATCACAGATCATGTTAGTCTGTTAGTTGGTATGATCAAAGTAGATCGACCAAACCCCACATTCAGAAGCGGTATCGCACTGGTTTCACACGAGGATGGCAGCCTAAGTAGGATCCCAATGTCCACATAATACCAGATAGTTCCGCATAGGAAACAAAAAGCCTCACATCGCCAAAACCAAGTTGTCATTGAGCATTTAATCAGCAAATTGAATGAAGGGATTAACCAACGATAGTCATTCTATGTGAACAACAGTGATGAATGAAGAGAACCTCATGAAAGTGCTTACTACCTGAAGTGGTGGTCACAGGGGAAGTTTCTCCCATGGAAACGCGACCGAAGCTGCTAGTAATATCTGCGAGATGTTCGGTTTTCTCGGTAGTCCGGGCGAGACAGAAATCGTCTATCTACGGGAACAAAGCGTGGAAGATGGGGAATGATGATGCGTCTGCTGAATAAATAAAGGCTCAACAACGGATGAAAAGTGTAGATCGATGAGAATGTAAACGTATCAGCGTCATGACGGGCTAAAACGCACTGGAAGTAGGCGAAATACGATGTAAATCTTTAAGATAAGACAGCGAGTAATTGCTCGATAGGTGATCGCCCGAAGAGCGAAAGGCCGATAGGAATGTTGTAGCACAGAGCTGGAGGATGTGTCCCTGAAAGAAAACGTGACTACGTCCGTTAAGGTTGAATAAAAATCAGGCAAAAGGTAGCGGAAAATTACAGTGGTTGACTCGGAACAGCTGAGCTGCATGAGTTTGTTTAACAAAATCAACACGTTTAGATGCCACACGAGAATGTCGATCGATCAAAGCCGAAGAATGGTAGAGTACGCACGCACAGAAATGTCACCCTGATTGAGCAGGTTTTCAACTGAAAGAATTTTGTTCGATAAATGGAACCGGGGTGTGCGAGGAACAGAATGCTTTTTTTAAGACAGAATTGGCAGCACAAATAAGTGTGTTTGGTCCGCAACACGATACCCCGAGGGATGTGGAGACAGTGACCAGTCCACACTTCTAGCACCAGCGCATTGTTGAGCGAAGCGAACGCTAACAGTCACACGGAACAAGAGTAGCCGGTATTTCGGAAGTTAGCAACGGTTCCGTTGAAGCTGGTAATCAATGCCGTCTAAGAACCGTCACACCTAATGACGTATGAAAGAAGGACTCGGCGGGATACCAACGAAAAGGCAAAAAGGGGAGTGGCCATTGCTAATCTGATGATGTTGCTAGGGAAATTGATCGAGTCCAGTCCAAATAGGCTGCGATTAACATAGATTAATCAAAAAGGGTTCGTGATGCACAGGGTCAGGTGTTTGGCTTGAAACTTCTACATCCCTAGTTCGAGTCCACGTTCTCGCGTGGGTGTGGTTTACTCTGTTGCACTATCTCAGCTCGTGTATGGCCGCTTGTGGCTACATGAAAGCGAGCCATCTTTACTTGACAGTGGTGTGGTGCTTATACCTTTTCTTAAAATTTAAGATGAAATTGTTTCAAGTCGAAGACAGTGGATAGTAATTACAGCCTAATGATACCATGAAGGCCCAATACGCCGGCTGGAATGAAAACTGGTTAAATGAAACTACAGCAATGCATTTTCGTGGTTCGTAAACTATGCAGAGTACGTATCGCAAGACGTGCTCCAAGCATGCAATTTTGGTAATCGACGCACAAAACGACTGGTTGGAATAAAGTGCTATGGAATCATCAAACAAACCTAGCAAGCAGAAGCAATTGGGATGAACTTGTAAAAATGCGCATAAAGTAAAAAAACGAAAGTGATGCCTAAAAACACTTAACGAGATGTACTCGATGAGGTGACGAAATACGCCAAGGTAATTACGTGGCACAGAAATAGCTTTTAGTTCACCGAGTACTACTACACATCAGCTCCCCAGAATGCATGAGCAGGCGTACTGGCGCACTGCGGTATGTGGCCCCCTGGTTGATAATACAACTGGTCTGATTGAGCTGCTCCGAAAGAAGCTATAACCGACCGGAGCAAAAGGGGTTCCGTATGTTCTGGCACTAAGTTATGGATTATCTCAGCCATTTTCCGCCAATTCATTAGGCTACAATGACAGAAGCCAGAAAGAGCATCAACTAATCAGCCATGGAGCGAATTGGATAAACTACTCGCACATGCACATCCCACATCCATCTGTAAGCTAAAAAGAGACAAGACCTGCGAAAGAAAACAATAAACTGTTGAATAAAGACACACCTTTTCCTGAACCTTCAGACAGCGGTCCGTTAGCTCGGCATAGAATTTCATGCCTTCCTTCACATCCTTGTCCAGGGCAAAGAAGCTATCCACTGCAGCATTCAGACGAGTGATCAAGCTACCGCCTGCCTCGGTAGACGATCGATGCCCAAAATGGCTTTCGTATTTGGTCTGTAGCTCGGACAATAGCTCTTCTTGGCGTCTCTCGCTGGCACGAACACACTCCCGAGAACCTTGAAGCTCAACATTGAGCGCATCCAACACGAACTGTTCGGTGACCTTACCCTGTGTGCGATAGCACTCGAACAGCTGGTTCACTGCATGTTAAGAGAGTAACAAAACTGAAGATGTGTGAACAGATGCAAGCTGCATCAAGATTTGGTCACTTGAAGAAAGTGATAAGATAGATTTTAAATGTATTAATCCGAATGGATTGAGGGTTATCATGAAAAGTCTGCGAACAATTTATAGATGAACGAGGTGCAAACAAAATCAAAATTCCCATTCGAATATCACCATTGCTTCCGCACTCTTCCCTCGGCATGAGCAAACTTGGCTTGTGCTGAAATGCCGAGTGGAGTGAAAACACGGAGATGACAGCCAAGTCCTAACTAAACAGAGCATGAAGATAACAGGAACAGTCCCATGCTATATGGCGATTGCTTCATGTTACTGCGAGCTAGTGTCCAACTTTAAAAAGAAGCATAGCTTCGGTTCCCGAGTTGGGAGATGAAACAAACAAGTTGGATGCGCGCAACTGTATATCAATGTTTTCAGTGAATGGAATATAGCTTGTCGATCAACTGACGGCGATATGCGTGAGCCTAATGAGCGAGGATGACCACAAATTGATCTTGCAGTTCTACGGAGATTCGATCACTGGTGTCAAATTGTTAAACAGGCGTCGTAAAAGATTCTAGGGGGATGCCAGTATCATCGATGAGTGAGTCCCGTCCAATCACTTCATTTAGGTGCGCAACTCAAACAATGGTCTAAAAGTAACGCGTGCATTGCTCTCGTATCATGAGATAAACCCAGTGATATGTAAGCAGTAAAAGTCACGTGAGATAAAATGCCACTCGCCCCCCCCCCCAAGCAAGTCAAGGCAGATGAAAACAGATGAGCCTAGACCCACTGTGCTAGTGGACATGTATTCTCAACAGTCTAGTAACTAGACACAGAGCCAGTATAAAACTATGGAGATCAACAGATAAGCAAGATTCAACGCGTCATAATCATCGTGGCATGCTAGTTGAAGGTGAGCAACACACTTCAACTAATATGCCGCAGGAAGAATGGAACATTTCGATAAAAAGTAGAACAAAACATTTTTAGTTGGTTTTTCACACGCCGCTTTTGTTCTTTTTTTGTCATTTTAATGTTTGTAGTATTAATCATGTGAATCAACACAATACTGTACACAAGTCTTCCATTGATTCCGGTTGCGGGCCATATCTTCAAGAGTGCTAAGCCATTGGCACTCCTCATCTTTGGGTCCCCATCCTGGAAGACGTACGGATCCAACAGCGGCTAGACACGACGTCAGCGATTTCATGTGCTGCCGCCAAGTGGAAGGCTGACAACCATGCGGCCGCCTCCAGCCAGGTCCTTGACGAGCGAATTGAGCGCGACGCGGTAGACGCTCAGGTGCCATGCGAAGGACGTGACCGAGCCATTTCAACTGGCGCTCAACTGGACACAGATGTATGAACTCCTGGTTGTCAAAAGGGATCGTCTGCTTGCTAGGTCGTCACATGAGAAAAAACGCATGTGCTTCCATTTCGAATGATTTTTAGCATATTGGGTTGCGAACACACCTGCTCACTTAATTCAGTGGAAGGTTCTGGGAGAAATGAGAGTCTTCGACAGATTTGAACAGAAGAAAGTCGCATTTAAGGAGACACCTTGACTAGTTTGGGCACCCATTCACAGTTCAAACGATAACAAAGTGGAACAATGTTATCCTTAAATATTATGTGGGCAAGTCGCCCCTTGTGAGCTAATGGTATCTAGCGGTCCCACATTCCAAAGCCCCTCTGATTCCTCCTAAGACCAAGCAGAACTCGCCACACCGTTTCAATAAGGAAACGTTTCCAAATTGTTGTACTGATCGTTTTGAATAACGAGTGAGTGCCTAACCCGTAACATTCGCAAGGCGCATGTCAATGTTTAGAGAGAACACCTTGTACTAGGTGGTGTTGATTCCAAATATCTCAGACCTAAATCAAACTAGAGTGGACATAAGCGGTTTAATGCATCACCATCCAGAGACAGTCGTCAGCTTATTGTTTGTCCCAGTGAGTACCGGATAAATCCAACAGTGTACAGTACGGCGTGGCCACTTGTACAGAGACGATCACCGAATAGCACATTACCAAAAGGGGCGCTCAAAGGAGATCTAAATAAAATTGGCTCCCAAGGGTTTGCGGTATACGGCAGTAGGGCTTCTCGTGAATAAGTTATCGTCTCTCAATTCCAGTAGGAGTGGAATACAATGGTCTACTACAATTGGTGGGCTAAGTTCTGCCTTTGACGCGAAGGGTTTGTTACTTGAAGCAGAGCAGTTGACAATTGGAGTAGTGTTCATAACAAACTGCATCTCAAGATGTTGAAACTTCTCAATTCTGTTACCACTACACTTCCGCGCCCCTCTTCTTAACACTCAACGTAGGCCAACACACTGTGTCCAAAAGATCGCACCTTTAATACCAGTACTAAGGCAAGACGATGGAAAATGAAAGGCAGCACGTCGGTCATCAGATTAACAATGGGCAGGTGACATCAGAAAACTTTTGTCAAACGGATGATGATGTTTTGTTAGTAGAAATTTCTACCGTAAAGTTAGCTAACCAAACGAAAATAGCACATGCATCCATAGTGATAAGCTCTGATGACTGCGATAGTATTGAAAGGTTCATATGCCAGATCATTGCCCGTAACGGTAAATCACAAGTTGGTAGGCGTAGAAGCCACTTACGGATCGACTCAGGTAACTGTAGAGCTTCAAACTGGTCACACAAACTGTGGCGATCGCCTTTCAGTGTTTCGATTTGGCTGCAAACCTGCGCAAGGGCTTGACGAGAGCTCTCGTTTCCAGTGGGCGAGGAACCTGAACCGTCTTGGGCATCTTTAATTGCACCGACTATCTCCAGATCGGTCTTACTGAGCAGTTCATAAAAGTAAGCCTGTTCTTCAAAGCGATTAGCCAACATAGCATCTGTCTTCTCCGTCTGCAAAAACAATGAGAAGAAATGGCTTGTTGTGATGCAAGATTCAAAAGTAGACTCATCAGAAAAGGAAATACGATCTACGTGTGGATGAGTGATCCGTGACAAGTGTCGTTTATACTAACGTCCCGCAGTTCCTCCATGAAACACCATTGAACAAGCTGGAAACCAGGAACAAACCCAATCTCGTTTGCTCCGATTCACAGAAACATATGCGTGGATGTGTCCCAAAATGCACCTTGAGGGAACGTGCATCCCGATGCGAAAAGTATAACAGATGGGGACAACAAGCGTTTCATGGTAGAAAGGATGCGGAGAAATCGGTTTCAACTGATGGGACACCCGAGTGGTGACATGTGGAGTAGAGTATCTAAAGATGGTGGCCACAATAAAGGCCAAGTAAACAGCAGGCCAGATATAAAAAGTCGATAGAAGGTTTCGTAAACATGTGTGAAAAATTCGTTCATCAATGCGATACGGCGCGTTGTATATCAAATAGGAAAGGTTCATGGTGCTCGGTAGAAAAGGGAAGAGAAGTGGATGGAAACACTTGTTCGTACGGCAGGCGGTGAATGTGGTCGTAAATTCTCCCGGATCCAAAGTGAACTGACTCAATTCTGGTGGCATCCGGTCACTTAATGTGGTAGTTCTGGGCCCGAGAATATACTGCATGCGTAAATGAATAAGGATGCGCAAAATATACGGTTGTTTCAAGGTGGCTTAAATGCTTACTCAGACATTTGGTTGAAGTAAGCAGTGAACGAAAATCATAATAAGATTGCAACTGCAAGACACATCTGTTACACGGCCGCTCAAACAAGGTGCAATCTACTTTCTGTCGCGTAAGTTGATTGAGAACCCAGGCTGCGAGTAGCGCGGTGGAACATTCTCACTGTATGGTGTATAAATCAGTTATAGTGACTAAAACGGCTTTAACCAAAAAGATCCATCCGGATGAATAAAGCACACGTCGAACGTTGGGACACTTCACATCAAATACCAATGAACCTCATTCCTCACCTCGACAAGAAAATTCAGCATCTTTTGAATATCTTTTCGCCATTGTTCATTGAGCTCCTTTGAGGGCTTTCGTGTCCAGCGCTCGCCGAATTGTTTCCTCAAATTTTCATCTGTCTTCTCCTCATCATCCAAGGTGTTTGCTTGCTAAAAGAAAAAACCCTGAGAGTCTATTCAAGGGCAATGTAAAATACAACCTCCCCTTTCTGAATTGTGCAGAACAAGCGAACGAACAAGGCACAACATTGATTCAGGAACGAGTAGATAGTAATGTTAAGAGATTCTGGCTGCTGCAAATACAAGGCATAGCCTACACTACATTTCGAGCATCCATATATTAGTAGTCTGCCTGCTGCACAGTTACAAGTTCAATCGACGGTGTGAATAGTTGTCACTAACCTCCCAAACACAGTGGGGTGGCGCAGAGACAAAAGTGCCCACCTTGTTTTCGTTTGTGCGAGTGGGATATAGAGCATGGGAGTCTCGTGTGGCTTCTCGCACCGGAGCAGGTGATGAGGTAACCGGGGCAATTGTGCTGTGACCTCGGGATCCAAATCACCTTATACTAGTCTGTACATGTCTGATCTGACGGGTTATAATGGTCGATGCCGCATCAAGGTGTGTTTACTAGTAGGTATCAGTGAATTTATTCGCCGTATGCTCCGGGGAACGGGAAATTTCTGCAGACAATGGATAGAATGCAGGCAGTGGAATTTGCCGGAACACCACCTGGTCCACATGTAAGGTGTCCGAAAAGCGAGGGTGAGAAAAATTCACGTATCATCCATCTTGCCTACTGAAATGTTAAATGCGCGAACTAGTGTCAGATAAGTTGAAACGGATGTGGGGAATTTCCTAGCTAGCGTAGCCATGAATTTCACAGATATCCCAATGTAAATTAAAAATCATTGGGAGCAGGTGGACGCATTCCATACCGACTGGATGGGTAAAGCAAGCTCACTTGTCGAAGAATCTGACGATTGCGCTCAGCCGAGTCCGGAAGTGAAAACACCTGCTCACGCAAACGATCGGCACCCCCTTGCTGACGAATTCTGGCCGCACCTTGCAGAATACTGTCGTAATTTTGCTCCGAAGAAGAGAGCTGAATGGCAGCAGGTAGGTTGAGCGAACACATCACACTAAAGAACGGAGAAGATGATGAAATGTGATTTCGGTGGACCTGATGAATCAGTAAAAAGAAAATAACGAAAGACGTAAGGTCGAGAACCCTAGTTAGGTCGAGATTAGTAATGAGCGGCAAACACATTTCTGTTGCCCTTTCATATCGTTACAAAATCAAGTCATCCTTAGCTAAATTCCAGTGGTTATTATCATCCGCACCACTTTGAACAAGTGGAAATGTTTTTCATAGGGCTCACAGGAGCACCGATGGGTACCGAACAAGATGATGTTCTGGTCTCAACCCATTAAAGCAATAATTGGCATGGTCAAATACACTTTGTAAACTTCAGGTGACAATCTGAAGCACAACCGCGTGACCACAGTTGAAGTGGGGATAGAAATAGGGTGTACAAGAGCAAGATAAAGTACAGCAGCGGAAGTAAGAAATACTACTTATGAATTCGACATGTGTCAGTTGGACAAGTCAAGCGAAAACTTGTGTAGGACCGTGGTTTCAAAGAGCATATACAGCTATACGAGTGAAATGAGGTCACTCCAGCGCGCGTTACATCGATTTAGGTGTAAGAGTCGAGAGTTAGATTAACCGGATGAGGGATATCGAATAGGACACGGAGAATTTTTATCTCGATATTTTGTGGAAAAAAGAATGCCTTCAATCTGCTGGTTTCCGATCGGACACCGCGAGCGTCACGCATCGGGAGCGCACTAAAGCTCGAGTTAAAGAAATGGGAGTTTGCGAGGGTAGTCGTAGCTATGGGGGCCCGTCTTATCCCTACATGTTCATAATATATAGTATAGTGGAGTGAGCCACGCAATAATACCGCCCCGCCGCAGGCTCGTAAGATGAGAGCTCTTAGTTTGAATCTGGAAGTATTTGGCGGATGCGCACGTCCAAAAAGTCCCAACAGGACGAAACGGTCGACGGGCGCTTTTCCAGGTGTGTGGTGCCTGTCTGACTGAATCTGGATGCGGCGAATTTCTTAGAACAGCTAGGCGAATTTATTTCTCATTGGAAACTTTTCGGTATGTGTTCTATTGTTCATCGATTATTCCACCCTCGCAATTTGTACTAATTATGACCAAGGCTGCCGCACCTCGGTGCCCGGATAATAACTGATCAAACGATTCGTAAGCAAGAAATAACTTAAAGTCTAACTAAGAGAAAGGGTTTCCGGTACTACTGCAAATAAACTAGGAAAGGGATATCTCTTCTGATCACTATGAGAGAGCTGATCCAAAGGCGTTAATCCACTTGTTCGAAGTGCGCACGGTTACCGCCAGAAGGAAAGAGGTTAGTCATTAAGTGAAATCTGACGACAAAGCTAGTTGCGCTTCCAACTCCAAAGAAAGTGAGGTTCAACATGGGTAGTTGGTCACTATAACTCTGAAGTCACATTGTAAGAACCGGGAAACACGGCCTATCGTTACATTCATAGTGGAGGTTCACAGTATATGTATACAGTAATAACTTACGCGTTGAGAGCATTGGTGGCCTCGCGAAGTCGGTGGGTCTCAGCAGCTAACAAAGATCGATAAATCGTTGTTGCATGTTTTCTAGCCTCCAAAACACCCAATGGAAGCAGCGCAGTGAACAGATCGGGAACTTCACCTTTAAGCAACGGTAACTGCAATTCAATCTTCCCCAATGCGCCTTCAGTGGGCACCGGAGCCAAATCCTTCGCGTTAGGGACATGTTCGTGGTATACAAGGTCATTATCCTTAGAAGCAGAATCTCGCTCCCGTTTGATCTGTTCCACCATATGTTGGCGATGACCAGCGCGTGCAGCAGTCTTCATCAGATCATAAGCTACCTGCATGTGTGCGGAAAATGAACGACTGGATTGTTAAGGAAAACTAATTGTTTTACATCGGACTATCTCAAAGAGTCGGTAAGGAAGATGCACTGTACTCTCGCTTCAACTACACGTCGTATCAAAGCAGTGTGATGAATGGTGAATTGATTCAGTAAAGGTCAAAGGCTCGAAAACCAGTAAAAAACAGGTAAAACAACAAAAGGACCAGGGGTACATGTAATTTGAAAAAGGGGATTAGTATATATATATATATATATATATATATATATATATATATATATATATAGTTGGCGGCATACAGTTCCGGATTTTTGATTGCTGTTGTGTAAACGGATTTGGGTATAACTCGATTTGGCTCATCGCAATTAGATTCCAAGCCACATAGGTAATCTAGCAATCCGGAAAAAGCACCAGACGCGCGTTTCGCCCTATTGGGGCTCGTCAGTGGTGCGCATCCATCGGTCCCCTACTGGGGATCGAACCCATGACCGCTAGAGGCTAACGCCAACTAATCAGCAGCTAGTTTCGGATATGCTTGTCACTGTGGCCCCTATGGGGACAGTCACAGGTTTGCGGCATCCGTTTCCGAGTAAGATGGCAATTTGATACTTCTCAGTCAATCACGCTGGCTTGAACGTTAGGCTGAATATAAGGTTGTTAATTAAGTTATTGAGGTGTTTGATACTTCAATTCTAACAGATGTATGTTGAGAAATGCTGTTTATCATTTTGAAGCGTTTTTCGCTTTATCTAGCAGCAATGATAGTTTAATCCAGAAACATGTTTTGCGATTTTACAGAACATTTAACGCAACATGGACAGAAGAAATTCGCACAATTTGTTTGTTCCAATTTAAACTTGGTCGGAATAAAGCGGAGACAGCTCGCGAAATCAGCAATGCGTTTGGTCCTGGAACCAATAATGACCGCACTGCACAATGGTAATTTGAATATGAAGAGCGTTATGGAAGGCCATCGGAAGTGAACAGCGAACAACCAGGGGTGTTAGTTGAAACGGCTCCGCGTACAACTGTTCGAAATCTTGCTTCTGACTTGGTAGTAAGGCATGTGACAGTTTTCAAGCATCTAGGGGAGATCAGAATGTCGGAAAGACTTGATAAGTGGGTTCTGCACGAAACGAATGAAATGCAAAGAGGAGGATGCCAAGCGATGACGTGGTCGAGAGTAGGGAAAACCCCAAGTTCGTTTGGTGTCGGTTGGTGCATCCCGACGGCCTGGCTGGGGTCCTAAGGACGATGAACACGTTTGGTTTGACACATTTGTTGATATGCCGAACAGCCGGCCCCAATGGCGTTTGTGTTGTGAGTTTCTTTGTTCATCCCCCTCTCTTTAGATCCTCCCAATTAGATCACATAGCAAATACATAAGGTGACATTCAACATTATATTACTTGCTTTTTGAATCTTTTATAGTGTAATTTTTAGTATCGTATCCATTCTGTATTGCGGCACATTAGCTCAGATATGTTGCTCATCTTCAGCCAACGTGTATTAGTGCTGGTAGTGACCACGTGACAGCAAAACGCGGGCACATCGCGCAGGAGTATTGTTGATGCTCTCGGTCCCACTGGCTACCTGGTTAATCTTTTAGATCCAATTCATCCATTTCGACTAGATACTCCTAAACGAGAACGGCGACGGAAGTCAGGCGAAAGTGTGTATAACGACAAGGATGCAAACTGAAGCCGAGTCACCAGCATGTGGCAAATATAGTCGCAGTTGACGATGCCAGGTCGGATAAGTTATGGATACTGTGAAAACAACATCCCCTAAAGAGTTCGGTGTGATAAGTGAATGTGCCCTCAAATTATCCATTCGGCTCATGACAGTTGGATGGTGGCACCGACCTCCAATGTAATACTGAAATCCACTTGAGGTTATTCCCCTACCTATATGAGCGTACCACAGTAGCCGAAACTGAGCTTTTCTCACCAACCTCGCAATTGGCAACCCAAAAATGAACGTATCCAATAGACGTGAAAATTTTGGTGACAGCATGGTCGGTATTTGTTGTACGGCGTTAACACTCTTGTCTTTGGACGCGACTAAATGTTGTTTCACGGTTACCAAGTTTGGCCATCAACAATGTTCATCGGTTCAATGAGTAGTGACGCATCCGCTAAGAGTCAATGCGTGCCAAGGAAAGTCGCTGGGTGTAGCGCATTCAAAAAGTACTGCAACATAAACACTCAGTAACAGAGGGGACATCAGTACATATTTCAAACATTTGCTAATTAAAGAAGTAATATCAGAAACACAAGGTCGCACCGCGCTCAAGGAAAGCCCATACAAGGTTAGTGGTGCTTGACGAGTTGAAAACGCAAGAAGACTGTAAGCGAGGTGTTCTTGACGTCTTGTTTAACTAAAGCCAAGGGAAGCTGCTGCGCATCTGATTAAACAGCTGAGCAAGCTGCTTGGCTGAGTAATCTAAACATCAGCTAATTCCCCAATGAACATATGAAATAATGTCAAATTAGGTATTGCATAGACAGTATCAGGATCTTTCAAGCGGTGACAATGAGGAAAAAACGAGGGGTGCAAAACCTACCATCAACCGAGCAACACGCTCTCCAATCGCTCTCGATTCGTCACAAACCTTGGATTGATGATACTGTGCGAGAGCAGAGAAAAGCTGTAGTTTTCCCGAAAGGTTATTGAGCCAGTCCTGCAAAGCTAGGTTATCAAATGAAGTATGAAACTACCCTGGGAATGTGAGATTTGATGCTGGAAACAGTGCATCGTTTCAGCCCATCATCGTAATATTCCCGCGTCTTAGAGGCGAGTTTCGCGACAAGAGTCGAGGGCATGTTTGCTGTAAAGTGAACAAGTCATGAGTGGGGAAAAGGTACCTTGTTCGGCCCTGAGGAAAACACACTCCTGAGCTTGGGCTTGCATTACAGTTCCATAGGCCACCATTACATCCATAAGTAGATCACCCGCCGAGCTACCAAACATGGAACAGTTGGAAGCCAGGAATTCGAAGACGCCAGACGCTGTCTGCAAGGAGAGATGAAAGGCCGATACCGCACTTTGCTAAATCAACCGATGATGAAGCAAATATGAAGATACAAGGAGATAAAATGTAAGGAAGACAGGCGCACCGAACATGCAGTTATGTGATCTATCGAACAACCAAGACAACATTCTTGATCGTGCAAAGCCAAGTCCGGCGTGTTACACTTTACTAAGCATTTCCATGAACAGTGAGATAAATGTAAAAATGGTGTTATGACTGCTGGACGGTGATATAAGCATGCGACCAAGTTAAGTTCGGGAGAAGCCTAGGTAAAACCACAAAACCTTTACAGATGCCAGTGAAATTACAAGTAGCACACTCACATGTGACAAAGGGCGAGCACAAGAGTTTAAAAAACATGTGTAAGCACAAAATTACCAGGTAAGTCGATGGTTAGGCATTAGATTTTCGTTGGGGATCACCATAACTGCGGCTGCGACATCTGCCGAAACCGGTTTGTTTTCTGTTTGTCCACCCTTTCGTACACTTCGTGCATCGCACATCCATCCCTCCCACCGTCCACACAAATCCAAAGTTATCGCAAATACATTTGTCACGTCTGTCAAACGCGGCTCGCTTTGTTACTTCAACCCCTTGATATGCCCCCGTGACGCCGCCTATCCCTCCTGGCATCGTCACTATCAGTGAATTCTCCGTGATTGCGTACTGCAAGCATCTGCTACACTCTACCTGTTTTAGTGATGTTCACACCTCTACACACCCGCCTGACAAGTGGATCGCGGTCCACTTCCCCGTGCATGTGGTCTACATCATCGGATGCCGTCACATGGTGACATGATGATGTCATCTCGACTGGTGATGAAAGGTCTACAAGCAAATTGTCCAGCTCGGCGAACAGCGCAGCAACTGAACACCTAACCTGAGCTACTAGCATTTCGGCTGATCTCAAGGATGGCCAGGTCTCATTAACGTAGAAAAAACACCGTACAACGGTGCTTTGCATTCAGGGTGTGCGAGGCGTATACCAAAGCATGCAATCACTCCGAATGTTTAATCCAGTTTCACCTGCAGCACAATTCAATGTTGGAATATACGAGGGTAGAGCCATAAGTTTCCGGATGCACAAAAAGTTTTAATTTTTACAACAAAATAAGCATTAATCGGAGGGCCACTTTGGAGTACATGTTGTGTGATTAGATCGCGACGCGCTATCTCAATGTAGACCGCCATTCACATTGTAGTGAACCTTGGTCAATGCGATCACAGGGACCGTAGCCGAAACAGATGGAAACTGTGTGTTTCCTGCCCGAAAACAGTGCGCAGTGTTTTCGGGCGGGCAAAACCTATTTTCAAAAATAAGTATTACGTTTTTTCGAAGTACTTGCCACCAGCATTCATGCATTTCCATGCGCTCCATTTGGAGGAGCAGCTAAACCAAGCAGAAGAGGGTAACGCTTCAAGCAGCTCAGTAAAAGCCTCTATTGCAGCTGCTGAAGACTAGTAGTGGATTCCCCACATGCGCTTGACATTTGGGAACACAAAAAGTCACACGGAACCAGGTTTGCACTGTAGTATGTATGTATGTATGTATGTAATCTCAGCGGTCTAGTAACTAGACATAGACTGTAGGGTGGGTGACCAACCTCCTGGACGAGTATTCTAGCCAGAAAATCTACGACGACATGAGACCTGTGTGCAGGCGCGTGGTCATGGTGCAGCAAGGTCCCTTGTGCTCGACTCCTTGGACGACGCCTAGCTACGGCTCCCAGCACTTGTGGCAGACAGTGGTTGGCATACCAGTCTCCAGTGACTGTGCGTTGCCGTAGCAGCGGTACAGTAGCCTTATGACCGATATTGGACACAAACACAGCTGCTATCTGCTTAGTCACACTGCGCTCAAGCCGGAATTTCTAAGGCAACGCTCACCAACAGCCGTCCACTGAGCCGATTGTTGCTTGGTCTGGGTCGAAACTGTACACCCAGGTCTCAGCACCACTGTAGATCTCTCAAACAGCATTGAAACACCCACCATCAAACGTGGCAAGCATGGTGCGGCACCGATCTACCCGAGCTGCTTTATGGTCCTCAATAAGCTGATGGGGTACTTCGCGTGAGCAAAGATGTTTGAGGCCGTTGTTATGGAGGGTGGTGTGGATTGATCCCGATGAAGTCTTGATGGCTTTCCCCAGCTGTATCACAGTCACCCACGCGTCCTCCTCCAGCCTCGCTTGCACAGCAGCAACGTTGTCCGCGGTGGTGACCTCCACAGGCCGACCACACCGTGTCCCATCATCTACGAACCGCCTGCCACGCTTGAATTCCGCAAACCACTCGAAGGCGTATCATCACCAAACGCAGTACGCAATCGCTGGACAGTCTCGAGCTGCTTTCAGCCACATTTGTGGTCATATAAAATTATCTCCCTCCAGTGACTTCGACTGAGTTATATACTTACAGTTGGAGTACAGTGACCCTTATGACTTGCGAGCTGTGCTGGGCTGCTGATATAGGGCTCTGTGTTAAAATCATTGAACAACATTCAGAATGGACTACATTCCGCACTTTTCTTGCCAGATCATTTGCACCTAATCTGTGTACTGCGTAACCGGAAACTTATTGCTCTGCCCTCGTATACCAATTCAGGTCAAAGTTGCCCACAGGCTAGAATATTCAGTTTCGCTCAGACAGCATTTTAATACCTGCAGCATCACAGGATGGCAAGTGACACTTGTCTTAAAGGCGTCCGACAAGTGGCACTGCAGAGCAAGCACGATGTTCACACTCCGTAATGACGCTTTATGAGTAAGTATATCGAGCAGAAATAGGTAATCGGTTAAGCTCTAGAGGTCTATAAAATAAAACGAAATGAGTATGATACATGTGAAGTTGGTCCGGATGAAATCTGTGATCTATGGACAGTATCTTCGCCGCAAACCCGCATGCTCTTCTCTCATCTAGGCTCCCATTCTAGATCAGGACGATAGACCGAAATGGAGCGTGTGTGTGTGTTAAGTTGGTGCCTCCGTGGCTAGTGCAAACATGCGACCGCTCTTCGTCTACGTCTTCAAATAACCGAGCTACTCTGGCCGGGTGGGATAGTCTCCTACGTCCCCATCTGTTCCAAGCGATGAAGCAACTCGTAATAGAAATCCGTGGTAGGATATGATGCGCAAAAGAATGGAAGCGATTTGAAGATAATTATCCTATCCCTATTTTCACACGGCGTATTTAAGTAAACTGGTCATAGATCACTCCTTGCCACGTGTACGCAAAGTGACTCATGAGCAGGAAGCTGGCTGAATCGCCCCGGAGATTTCTCATTCTAAGTTGGATGTTACCACTTATCCTAGAGGACAATTAGGCGTACTTCTTGGTTGTCTCGCTGAATGATGACTTCATAGGATCAGTGGAGTGATCTACTGTGGTGGCTGTCTTCCAGGATTAGCAAGTAACATGTTAAACGTGCGGTCAGAATTCGTGGTATAACAAAGTTAAATACAAGCTTGTTGTGGTTCCCTTCGATCAGATCTCTCACAATTCAGACACGAACCGGCAAATTGGATTTCATGACCACAGTTCGCATATAGACAGACTGAGGCAAGCAGAGAAGCCGCTGATACTTCATCGCTCGATGTTGCATGTCACACTTCACGGGGTTCAGTTCAGAAGGGTCGCAAGTACAATGCATGGACGGTATCAGTCATCCTGATTATAAGTTCCAAGGTGGTTAAATATCAAATTCAAAAAGCTTGCTTAATGTGTAGAGACAAACAGGAGTTAAAACCTATTCTCTTCCTGGAAAAAATAAATATGTGCGCATAACTCGTAGACGTACATCTGAAAGTGGTGAAGAAACGAATCACTTTAAGTTTTTTTGAGAAATATGTGGCTAGTTATGACTAACAATGGTAATGATGAGGGAGCTAACTCGAATGAAAGCATTGCACCGTACAACTTGGCCAGGTAATGGAGCAATTTACCTTCAGCGCAACAACGGCTTGCTTTAATCCATTGGGATCTTTCAAATCAGATGATTCTGCTATCTGAGATTGGATTGCACCGTAGCAAAATATGACGTTGGCCCGCTCAAATGCGCTAGTGCAGATTTCTGCAAACGAATGAATATTAATAAAAAACACATAATCGCACTGACTTTTTTGCTTCCCGGTTATGTCCGTCCACTTCCAATCCACACGTGCTTCGGTCTCTGACATAGAAACGCGAGGCTCCAGACTATACAGGGTATCATGGTAGCTAAAAAGCGAAATGAGATGGTCAGGTAAAAAGCACCCGAGAAAGATAACTTCGGACATAGCTCAGATAAAAAAAATCAAAACCTGATTCTAACATTCCCATCTGATAATAAGGTAACCGTTGAACTGATTGTAGAGAACAACGAATTATTGTCTTCAGACAAGTTCTAAAATTCACACAAAAATTTCATGCGAGTAAGAATGATCAAGCTATTCAGTTGCAATTCCTATCCTGCGCAGAAAAATGAGTAAAAATGGCTCTCGCCAATTAGCTATCGATAAGGCCAGTATCACTCATGACCGGCAGGAGCTCCGAATGAGTAATAATGAGGTCGGTCGACGGTAGCAAAACAACCTGTATCGCACTAGGCTCTGTTTAACCTGCCCCGATCACGATGGAAGGGTCAAGTGCTGCACAGGTTTGTTGGCTAACACAGAGCTAAATGCCACCAAACAAACAAGCGGAGACGATATACGATGAAGCCTGTAAGAGGAGACTGGAACCCGGTGAACACAGTTGGCAAACATGGCAGAGTTCTACGACTACTTCAATCCAATGGTGTCAAAAATCCAGTAATTAGTGAGACAATCATACACCTCAATCGAAAACTACTACAATAAGCAGACTCGAATGGCTCTTTTGGCGGAGAGGTATCAGGAACAGGTCAACTGACCGAATGCGCATGAACCGCTACGAAATTAGGTGTCATAGGCTGAGTTCATGAAGTTAAAAAGGCTCCATAGTTTTCTACTTTGGAAATCTACTACATTTATCAATCAATAGAACGATAAGAAATGAGTACGTGGAGATCTCCGTGATGAATAGGAACATCATTCATAAGTCCATGTCAGCTAGAGGTTAGGAATATCTCACATATTAAGTCATGATTGACCCACAGTGAAAGCAGCCGGATATCATCTCATTGGCTAAGCTAATACTATATGGACCGATTACGTCTGTCCTCACCATGGCATCACAACTCAACTCCTGGACGCTTCCCTGTGATGACCGCTGGGTGGGAGGTTGGTTACACCCTTTTAGCTGAGAGTCAGGACACAATTCCGCATGAGTCGGTTCACTGACTCTAGGTGCACGGCTCGCTGTATACTTTATCGAAGACTTTGGCTGAGGACCCGAGCCGTTCTCCTGTCAAGCGTGGACGCCCTGGTAGTATCTCAGTCCAACCCCCAACTAAGAATCACACCAGTACTAATAAACCAACGCTGCACCGGTAATCGCGCAGTGGCCTTAGGAAAAAGGTCGCCTTATGTGCTGCATACAGCGGGGTGGATAAGCGAAAACATGCTACTGCTTCTTCCTTCTTCCCCTGCAAATAATCTCCCTGTTCTCGTTTCAACTAACCAACTACTTCCTGCAATCTAGGTTGTCACCAACCATACGTTTGCTCGCCAACGCATTCGCATGCCCCCGCGCAAGGCAATGAACATCGGGTGCTGGAACGTGCGCGCACTGCTCGACCATAATACGGGTGAGCGTCCCAAGCGACGCGCTGCACTGGTCGCGATGGAACTCACGCGCTACGGGATTGACATTGCCGCACTCAGCGGGACTCGGTTCGCTGACCAAGGCAAGCTGCATGGGGCTGGTGCTAGTTGCACGTTCTACTGTGTGGGGAACGCCAAATTAGCACCACGTGAACACAGGATCGGATTTGCACTATCCGAGCGCCTAAATGGCCAGCTGGTGGCAAAGCCTACTGGTATCAGCACCCGCTTGAAGACACTCCGACTGCGACTTGGAAGAGGCAAGCTTGCACTTTTATTAGCACGTGTGTTACTCTGATGACACGAGGGATCAGTATTACGCTCAGTTATCCTTCGTGATGCGGTCTGTGCCGAGGAGCGATCGACTAGTTTTACCGGGTGATTTCAACGCGCGCGTTGGGCGTGATGCTGCAGTGTGGACAGACGTAATCGGCTCATATGGTATTTGCACAGACTACGAACGGTGACCGGCTCCTCTCACTGTGCGCCAATCACGGCCTAACGGTCACGAACACAGTCTGCACTGTGTGCGAGTGACATAGCTACTTGGAAGCACCCATGGAGTGGCCACGCTCACCTACTGACTGTCATCGTACGCCAGCGTGACATACGTGAAGTGTGCATGATGCGTGTACTGTGTGGAGCTGAGTGTGACACTGACCACAAGTTGGTGCGGACCTAATTGTACATATTTTCGTAAATTTATATACTGCACTCCTGCTGCGAACCGGCGGAAATATAACATTCAGTCCGTAGGTACTGTGGAGGAGAGGATGGAACTGGAGAAGGCGATGGCTACCAGCCTTATCGATGTTGAATCCATAATCACAGTGGGCGACCTGTAGCACCATATCCGTAAACAGGTGATGGCTGCTGCTGAAGAAACAATCGTGCGCGCAAACTGTAAAAAGCCCGATTGGTTTGAGGACAACAGTGCGGTCATTGGCGCATTGGTGTCGGCGAAGAATGCAGCGCTCGCTGCACATGTGGCGGACCCTGCTAACTGCGAGGAGTCATTTTCACCAACTTCGACGGCGATTGAATCGAGAGCTCCGTCACATTAAGAATGCATGGTGGACGGAGAAGACGAAGCAGATGGAATGTTATGCTCATAAGTTTCTACTCGCTGGATCCTTTGTCTTTTGAATCTCGAGCACAGGTGTACTCGGAGCAACGCGTCAATGAAAAGTTTGGGACAGTTTAAAACAGATGTAGACAAGTTCTTTGCTTGGTTCATTGCTATGAACCAGTGCTGGGTCTAGAATTATCAACTTGAAACAAAGAAACAATCCAACCAATGGAAGAACCTCACAACCTCGACATAGGAGAAAACAAATCTTACTCCTTAAACCGGAATAGTGCCAGCAGCAATCTGTGGCAATGATGGGTTTCCTTGAAAGAGATCATGCCATCAACAGAAAATAGTTGGAAGACCTGATGCGACATCTCATACAATAAAGTTAGAAAAAGACTGGTCACGCTGGCAAAAGTATCCTAATCCACCATGACAATGCTCCAGCACACACACCAGCAGATGCCTTGGCAAAAATCCTTGACCGTGAGTTCCAAATTCTTCTCACCCACCTTATTCATAAGACAGCCCGTAAGATTTTCATATGTGTCCCAAGTCGAAAAAGACTTAAACTGGTCGGCGTTTTCTCTACGGTAATGGTGCCATGTATGTCAGTGTAATGTTCTTAGGGTGGCAAAATGAAAACTTCCTATCCACAGGGTAAAGACACTTTAGCAGGACTAGTGCAGGCGCGTTGAGCTGAGAAATTGGTACTTCCTTCTACTGCGAACGCGGCATTGGAATGTGCCTTGTCGAAACATTTGACGACATCCTGCAAATTGGTCGCCTGGTCTACCATACCGAAAATATCGTCTATGTAACGTCGGTAAAACATGAAAGCGGAAATAACCGGTTTCAACGGGCCGTTCTCCAACATGCCCATGTAGACGTCGGCTAAAAGTGGCCCAAGAGGGTTTTCCATTGCCACTCCGTCTACCTGCCTGTACGATTCACTGGTGAACCGAAATTGCACGTTGTACGTGCACCTGAGCAGGAGTTGCTTCAACGGTCCAGTTGGTATCTCCGTGCTTATCCTGTGTTGGTCAAGGTAGGTACAAAGAAAGTTGACTGTTTCTAGCAGCGGGACATTGGCGAACAACGATATCACGTCTAGGGAGAACATTCGACAGTCCAGTATGTTTGTTTCTAACACTGTCGACAAATTGGAAGGTGTTGATCAACTGATGTGGGACAATCCTTTTCCTTATGGGGTTCAGTAAAGACACTAGCCACTGCGACGTTGTGATACGGTGAGTTCCTCGTATATACTACTGGCCTCAATTGTGTCCCCGTAATGTGTATTTTGGGGAGACTATACAGCCTTGGAATAATACAGCCGATTGGTCTGAGCCACTAAAACTTTTCATTGACCATATAGCCGTCAATTAGTGGTGGTTTCAAGCACTTGATTAGTTGTGTTTCCGCATATTGTTTTATCCTTCCTATGCTCGCAAACAATAAACCTTGTTTTTGAGAATCCATTTCATTTTTTGCACGTATTTACTGAGATCCATGATCACGGTTCCCGGCCTGTGTCTGGCTTGGCGATGATATCCTCTCTTCAAGTTCTACGGTTTCAGGATGCCTTCGTTAATAACCGGGGGTGTCATATGAAACCGTTGATAATGAAAAGAGATGTTGACGAAATCTGACTTGAATCGCTCGAGATGACCACTAAGTCACTCGTCTGATTGTTGAGATGTTCAAACTGGGTTGCGATTTCCAGTCGACGGTCTTTTCTCTGTGGGTGATAGAACTTGAGGCCTAAAGATAGTGCTCGCATTTGTAATTTGTCACGCTTCACACTTGACAAGTTGTGCACATACCGTTCAGGATTTGATGGAAATTTTGTCATCATCATCATCATTATACACGTTAGCTAGAGGTGGGAAACACCACGGCTACTGTGCCGCAGTACATAAAGGAAAAGGAAAATAAATACAACAGTTGCATGCCAGCTGAGCTCCCAGCAACGGATAGGCATCGTTCCGGTAAGCTACCAGCCGGCTACTAGGCAAAAAGAAAAATCATTATGTAAAATTATATTACGCTACAAAATGAGATCATGGATGAAAGGGGCAGGTAAAAGGGATGGGGAGGGACAAAGAAACTCACAACACGAACACCACTGAGGTCGGCTCCTTGCCATGTCAGCAAGTGTATCTAGCCAAACGTGTTCATTGTCTTTTGGACCCCAACCAGGGAGCCGTGACGCTCCAAATTTTGCAAGACAATTCAACTCGCTTAGCGTTTGTTACAGGGCTCAATTTTCTCAAAGCATATTTCTGTAATAGGTCTGATGATGAAGAAACCGAAAACAATTGTTTGCTTTACGCGTTCCGCTTGCGTTTTTCACGAGTCGGATAATCAAACTTATGCTACTGTAGTTGGGTCATATTATGCGCAGGCCATATTTGAAAATG